TAATATGAGATTATAAGAATATATAGTATAACTTTATGAGGAAGAATCAGGTGTTATATGATTTAGGTATGGAAATGATCTATGTGTAAGTAAATTACGTAATTATGTGACTATGTGTGAAATGGAGTACACTAGGTAATTATAAGGTATGTGAATATAGGTATATAAGATAAGTCACATGACTATGAATTAGGTGAAATTAAATGGTGAGAATGATATGACAGAAAGTTATAAGAGAATATGTTATGAGAAGATATAAGAACAAGTATAAGCTATGTGATATGTGAGTATTATGAAGATGTTCTACGTGCAAGTGATCTACGTGTATGTGTGATTTATATGGAAATGAACTACTTGACTACGTGTGATCTTATAAAAATGTAATAATAAGACATGTGACAAGAGATGTGTGATTACATGAAGGTATGATATAAGTTATGTGAAATGGATCTATATGCCTATTTGATACGAATGTGTGAATATGTGACAAACATAAATATTAATGCTCATGTTTTGTGTCTTGAGAGCTAGAGGTATAGTTGGCATGACAAGAGTCGAGGGTCTACGCGGTCTTTCGGGACATATATGTATTCCTTGGAACATGTGTGATGTCTTTTGAGACACATACTTGATCCTTTGTATAGATGATTCTTAAGGAAATTTCTACGTGGTCTTTAGGGACATTTTATATGGCACTTCGGTGCAATTCTATGTGGCACTTTGGTGCAATTCTATGTGGCACTTTGGTGCAGTTATACGTGGCACTTCGGTGCATTTATACAAGCTGTAATGACAGCATTAGTGCACAACCTCTAAAGACTCACATATCAATAGTTCTCACATATGTACATGGGCTAATCAAGAAATGATAACAAATATATATTTGTGATATGATAAATTTTATATCAAGGACATGATGAGGTATAGGTATAGTATATGATTAAGAAGGTTAGGTATTTGTGCTATGTGATTAAATGATAAGTGACTAATGATGATTTATATGCATGCATGTACTTCTTATTAGATAATCTGATATGATTTATATGATGATGTTTGTATTGCTTGATTAATTGAATAATATTTTGAGTAAGAAAAAAAATAGATATAAGAGGATATAATTATAAGATATAAATGATAAGAATATTGATAGTGAACTAAGGTTAGAGATTTAAAATAATGTGTGATATGTATATGTTATATATAATGTTATATTGTTTTGATGTGGTATTATAAGATGATATGTTCATGCATGTGTAAATAGTTAGAGTTCTTTTATAATTTAATGCCTCACTAAGTCATAGACTTAGAGTGTGATTGTTTCACACGTAGGTACAAAAGCGAGAAGAGAAGCGAAGAAGAGCAAGACAGGTCAACATCTCCCTTACAAAATTTCAGATTAGAACATAGATGATTTAAATGTGTTTGGTTATTTTGAATTTAGTTGGCATGTACTAATTGATTGAGTTAAATATGCTCTGATCGATTTTGGTTATTGTGGTCAATTTATGTAAATAAACCGCTTTTACTTTAATAAAAGTTTTAAATTTTCTTTGAATTTTGTCAAGAGTCAAAGTTTGAAAAGTCAATGTGACACCTCAGACTCGTATTCGGGTCGGGTACGGGTCTGAGGATGTTACAGCTCCTCCACTGGCGACATCCACCATTTTCCATCTCCATTGGTAAAACGTATTCATAAAAGGATTGAAGTAACGTTTGCTCACTTAATCCGTGTTGCGGACAATGTACACAAAGCTTTTTAAATCGCTCCAAATAGTCATAAAGACTTTCTTCGTTCTTTTTCTGAATGGAAAGAATGCTCCTTCGCAACTCGCTTGCTTTAGCCGTTGGAAAGAACCTGTCAAGAAAAATTTGATTCAAGTCAACCCATGAATTAACTAAATTTGGAGGTAAATAAAATAATCAATATTTAGCCAAGTCAGCTAAAGAGAAAAGGAAAACTCTTAATTTAATTTGATCATCGATAACTCCATGTGGTTTCATGCTAGTGCAAACCATGTTGAATTCCAACAAGTGTTTGTGCGGATCTTCAGTGGGAAAGCCGTGGAAGGTGGAAAGAAGATGAATGAGTCTCGTCTTTAATTGAAACGGAGTCCCGCCACTAGGAAAATTAATGCATAATGGCGTCTGAGTGACAGGTGTTGTGACTAGTTCTCGAATCGTTTGTTTTTCTGCCATCAGAATGTTGTATGTGTCTGTTTCGATATCCGGATCTAGATCTACTAATTCACATGGGTTTCTTCTAGTCATAAATAAAAAACTAGAAAAATAAATCAGTACTTGCCGTTAGTCCCCGACAACGGCGCCAATTTGATAACCGTCGTATTGCTATCAAAATAATTTCGGCTTCTTAAATAGAAAGGAAAATGTAGTATAGAGAAGAAGGGTCGATCCACGGGGACTATGGTTTTTGTGATTTAGTAAAACTCTTTTGATTTAGAGGAAGATAGAGTTACAGATGAAGTTGAAAATGTATAAGAATTAAATAAACTAAGAATAATTAAATAAACAAATTAAAGAGATTGAGATAAAGAGAAACTTATTGTGAAAGCAGCCTCAGACTTCAGCTTTGTCTCAAATTTCTCGGATCATCGAAACATATTTTTACTTCAAGATTCACGTCAGCTTACAAGGACAATTCTTCGCTGCCAACTCGGATTGTGTCGTTTAAATAACAAATGATTTCGATCTCAGTTTCCTCTTAGCAAACAATTTTGTTAAGTTTGTTCTCGGGAAGTTGAATATGCTTCGATAAGCAAATCCTTCTTCAAACGTTACCAGAACAATATACGGACCAATGTTGAAATCGTTTTGATTTGAAAAGTAAACTCAGAAAACAGAGAGAAAATTCGAAGCGATTTTAAGTACCTTACAATTCTCACGTTTGGAATTGAGCCTTCGCTTGAAAGAAAATTAGCTAAGCATGACCAAAATCATACTTAGCATAATAGAAAAGTATTCGAAAAATAGAGAGAAAACTAGAGAGAAAAAAGAAGATTTTATTCTCATATGAGAGATATATGTTTCTAGGCTCTCATCCTTAGAGGGTATTTATAGCCTTCAATTCCTAAAAACAAGCTAATACATCTTAAATCCTAATTAAAACACTTGAAATTATTTAAACTAAAATATCTAAAAAATAATATAATATTCTAAATCCTAATTAAAATACTAAAACCTATTTAAACTAAAATACCTAAAACAAATATAAAATATAAAAATAATATCCTAAAACTTAATTAAAATACTAAAACATATTTAAACTAAAATACAAAGATAAAATATAATGTTTAAAATATTATCCTAAACTTGAGTTTAATTCAAATCTGAATTCCAACCAGTTTTGATTCCAAAAATTAAAAAAACTACATAATTTTGTCATTTTTATGCAATTTCCAGAATCGTACTTCATGCACAGAAAATAAATTAAAATAAACAAATAAACCATAAAAATCAATGATTAAAAAATAATTTAAAAATAAAATATTAACTAGATTAAGCACTTATCAATGTAAAACATATTCTTTTATTCTTAATTGCCATTTGTAGTCTTTTATGTCCGGCCTTTTGTAGATGTAAAAAAAATAGTTAATAATTAAGAATGGTGTTTATTTCCATATTCAAATTGCATTATTTTCCTATATATTCAGAACCAATTGTCAGGTTTTACTTGTACACGACGACGACGAGAGACGATAGACTTCAATTATACATTAAGGATGATTGTACATCAAAAGCCTACACTCACCAAGGCCTTGTCCTCTGTTTGACTGTTTCTACGACTCACTTGGCCGAGTTGACACGTCCCGCCTCACTCTAACTAACCTTAACCAGAAACCCTCTCCTTCCGCCGGAAAACCCCTCTCCGCCATTCCATGCGAGAACCCTGGTCTGCGATCTCCGGCTCCGGCTCCGAAACGCTAGCAATCAATTCCCTGCGTCTCTAATTTTGATCCTTGCTATTTGTGTGAGTGCATCATATTTCGTGGAGAAACTATCGCCTTCCTCTTATGTTTGTTTCTCGAATTTCAGCATTCAAAAGCAAAGCAAATAGCCTTGGTGAGTCTTTGAAGACAAAATTCTTGATGTTGGAGAGCTGACATAGGATGGGTTTTTATTATTGTTATTTGGATATATAATTGTGCATCTTAGAGTTGCTGCCAGTACGTGGGGAATTGAAGAACTCCCTTAAGCTCTCTCATTCCAGAAAATAGAGGATAAAGATGAGCCAACGCCAACCGGATTAAAGAGAAACTACAGACGTAATATCGTGTGTAATATTATGAAGGGTAAAATACATAAATGGTACCCAATTATAGTATATTATCTTGTCCAATCTTTCAACTATATAAAAGTAATAAAATGATTATTTGATTGTATACTATTGTTTTGTTGAATCTCCTTATTATTAAAAATTGAAAAAAAATATCTGACTATTTATATATTTTAAATTTATTATTTTTTGTTAAAAAATGATCGTCTGAGCTGAAAGTTAACATGTTAACTGAGATATGATAAAATATAATCTCAAAATTGCTTGACCTGTATAATTATTTAAAATTCTAAAATTAAATTTTATCATATTTTAATTAACATGTTAGCATCCAGCTCATATAATCGTCAAACAATATGTTATGACTAAGGACCATATGTATATTTTACCCTGTTATAAATAAATACATAGCATAAAAAGGTGGCCGCCGCAATGTGCACGCTGAAAGATGCTAAACAAAAGACAAGTCTTCCACGCCAAGTTAACGATGGGAACTCAACTACGTTGTATGGGGTTCAGCCACGACTTATATTCCCTACTGTTAATCCATTCAGAATACGCCACGTCGCCCTCTTATCCATTTTGGGAATATAAAAACAAACAAATGTTTACTGATGCAGCTTACTGATGTTTTTTTCCTTGGTTCCCAAGGAACCCTCAGCTAATCCTTACCAAATATAGATTACATCGTCTACATCTCCATTTATCATTATTTTCCCAAAGACAAAGTTATATATATACATACATATTTCTGATTTCCTCTGTTTGTTCAATTGTTATTGAGGTTCCCAATGAAAGTAAAGCGCAGTTCTTCTGATATGGAGGATAGTTGTAGAGGTAGGAATAAGAAGGCAAGAGCAAGAAGGAATGGAGGCGAATCAGTAGAGGACGCCATTGAGAAGTGGAGAAGGTACAACAACAACAGCAGCCAAGTTCGGTTCAGTGAAGAAAATAAAGGCCTCCAAAGGGTTTCTAAGGCTCCTGCCAAAGGTTCTAAAAAAGGGTGTATGAGAGGGAAAGGAGGGCCTGAGAATTCCGGGTGCAAGTACAGAGGTGTACGGCAAAGGATATGGGGGAGGTGGGTGGCGGAGATCCGACAACCCATCAACGGTGGTCATCATCTAGTGAGTAAAGGGAACAACAGGCTTTGGCTTGGAACCTTCTCTAATGCCATTGATGCAGCTCTTGCTTATGATGAGGCAGCAAAGGCTATGTACGGTCCTTACGCTCGCCTCAATTTCCCCCAGCACCATTCCAAGGAATCAGTCGATAATTTCGGCAACAGAGCGTCTGCTTCATCCACCATTGAGATATGTTCAATCGAGTCTGGTTCGACATCCCATTTCGATGATGAAAGAGCCAAAAAGGAATCAAGTACTACTTATGAGTCCCCTGCAGTACAACCTGTTGAAGAATCAAAGATAATCCTACAGGGTAATTCGTCAGAGAAACACAATTGTAATTACCTATATAATGAAGACCGAGATTCCGGCATTTCGATTTCGGAGTTAGAGCCTTGGAAGGATGTTAAAGCTGAGATGCCGGTAAGCATCGAATGCGATATCAGTTATAATCGTTTCTTTGGTGAAGATGGTAACTTGAAAACTGAGCATACAGGTTTAGATATTTATTGTAAGACTTCGAGTGAAATGAAAGCAGAAGTGGAGGTTGAATCTGATTTTTATAACTACAACAGTTTGGATAGTCTTTATGATGAGCCCCAAGATTTGAGCTGCCAGCAACAACTTCATACTCCATCATCTGTTGGTGATCTCTTTAACGACTTCAAGAACAAATTGGAGTGTATGGATAGTTTGTCAGCCGATGCGAAGCCTTTTGACTTAATTAAGAAAGAAAAAGATTACAATTCTGATCGACTTGATTCTCCTTCTACGAGCTACATTCAAAGAGGTGGAAGTGGCTTAGCCTTCAACCATGATGATGAGATAGGCTTTGATTTAGATTACACTATGGACTTTTTGGCACCTGAGGCTGATTTGGACTTCCTAGAAGCCATGAAATTCACTGGTTTATAGTTTTGATTAATCCATTATTTTTAAGAATATCGGTTTCTCGGAACCTTGTGTATACGTCTATTTTCGATACGAGCAGTTGACAATCTAATCCAACTTTTTCCAGTATTTTCATTACTCATTCTTGAATTCAGTTTTGGATCTGACTGTTGTAAATAGAATTATAAGTTTATAATTTTGTTGTACCTCCTTTGCACTTCAAAATCTCTGGAGGACCCAGAAATTTCTTTAAATCTCCACTCTTCTGCACCTCATAATATCTGTGAAGAAGATTATCTATGGACATAAAACCTTTAGAGACTTATACCTTGAGAAATTACAATTCTTCGACATAATTTTTAACAAGCTTAACATGAAAGAATTAAATTTCAACCGACTATATTCACTTAATTTATTAATTTATAAGTAATTATTATAATCTTACTCTGATACTAAGAGTCATTATAGAAGTCTCAACCAAGACTGAGTAAAGAGCTAGAACCTCCTTCAGTTCTCCTTCTTTTACCCCCTCATGGGGATAGAAAGCCCAAACACTAATTAATGGTCGTTCGATCATCGATTTCGACTCTACATTCAAACCGAAACGAGTCATATTTACTAATGTGGATAAGCAATTAGCCAAAATAAATATAGCAAGGTACCACTGCCAATCCCAAGGTATAGGTCCAGCCTTTGCAAGAAATCAGGGACAAACTTAGGCCCTATACCCTTTGATACTTGGCTCAATTCCAGATACAAACAATAAACACGGACCATCCTAACAGAGAGGCATAACCATGCATGATTGCTTCCAACTATTGATGCACATGTCGGAAACAAGAAGAAGAAGAATAACAACAATAATAGTATCTTCTGGACCTGGAAACAATTTACTTGACCTGTAAGCCCTACGCTGCTGCTGATGTCTTCAGTTCGGCTTGAATGATCTAATCACCTGGAAATCAAATGAGATCGATAACAGGAATCAGTTCCATGGATTCGCATACATGTTTAAACATGGAAAGCAACAAAAACTTGGTAATTTTTTTCCTCCTAAAGATTGGTCAAGCCTGTAGAACAGAGGACAATGCAGCACCACGTACTTGCATGAAACGCGAGAGCAAGAAGAACCCATGGAGCTCAGGATGGATAGCACCAACGTGATCGGATTTAAATATAAGAAAAACTTGAAGATCACGTGTGGCGCTATCCCTCCTGAGCTTAACAGATTCTTCTATACTTAAATTTCTGAAACGAAACGAGCACCACTAAGCAGGGCTGCTAAATAAACCAACTGGAAAGGAAAAGGAAAACCCTCTGAGAATGTTGGCATGATTTAAAAGAAGAGAAGCTAATGTATTTATAGCAGCTGAGGAGAGCACAGCTTCACCGACTTAAATCTTCACGGATTTGATAATGTATTCATGTAAATATGTAATTTGTTTTTGTTGCTATCTATTCTTCTTATGCTCCCTAGTGGAAATCGTAAACCATGATTCTTGCCTCTCACAAATAAATGGACCCCATTTTTGCCATAATTTCTATATTTTTTCTTGATATTTTTATGTTTGGTTTTCGGTCCATAGTTATATATACTATTTATAATATTAGAGAAAAATAATTGTTACTGTAATGCAATATTATGGTGCGGGCATATGTCTACTCCACTTTCCATTTTTATCACTAAAAAGACTATTACCTAATAGTTTGGTGTTTGCTGGACACAATATCATTTTTTTGATAAATTGTTACTGTACGAAATGAAGCAGATCCAGCATGCTTTTGCCGAATCTTTTTGGCTGTTAGTTTTGGGCCCGTTGATGGGACAATTTGGATGTGTTGATTATCCCTTCTTATTTGAATAGAGAACAGCAAACAGTGGTGAAGCTATCGTTGGCCGATGTCAAGGTTTTTTGTCTCCATAAGGTAGAATAAGGAGAGTTGAAGAGGGGTTCCATCATTTCTCTCAGTCTTAGTCGAGAGATTCATTATGACTACTCTACTCGTAGGTTAATAAATTAAGTGAATATGATTAGTTGATAGTAAATTTAACGATTCACGTGAACCTATCAAATATCATATCAATAAATCACGACTTTTGAAGAGTGTCAACTCTTGAGATCTTCCTCAGGAAGATGGTTAGAATGGGTACAACAGGTTTTTTTTTTAGGGCTGATCATTATTACTAGTCTCCTCTATAGTCCTCAAATTCTACACAAACAAGGAAGAAGTTGATTGTTATAAGCAATCATTTTTCTCGACTATCCCCCCCCCCCCGCGGGGGTTGCTATATGCAAGGACACAAAGAATTTCAATTGTTCACTCACTTTTACAGAAAATGGAATATCAATTCATTCCGCACATCAGGTAAGCACCAATGTATGCAATCCGAGTAGCCTGCAGGGTTGGCCAATCGCTGGGGGCTCAGTGTCTCCAAAAATTTTCTATAAATAGAAAGGTGTTCGTCTTTTCGATATTCCGAGAGATGAGTAATATTGATAACAGATACCTTTGAACCCAAACCGGAAAACACTTTATCCACCATGTCATGGTCGGCAAGTCGGAACCACTTCCCTAGTAGCCCTCTGTAGTGATAGCCCGCATTTGGTTATAGCAATTTCCTTCGCTTCCGGGTTCTCACTCCTCTTGGTTAATGGCAATATGTTAGCAAATATTAGTAATTCTTACCTCTCAACTTCTCCCACATTTCATACACATTCCGCCTACACACCGGAAAAAATAGAGGAAAACTGACGGGAAGTTCCATTATCTAAGGCCAAAACATTAACACACGGTTTCACTACTCGTAAGAATCACATTCCATGCTTCACATGGTTAGTTGCGATGCTAATACATCGGATTCATATCACATCAATTAGTGTTCTTGAATTACTACAGCTCCATGTATTCGAATCTATATACTATGCGAATAAAAGCTTGAAGCCTATATAGTAAGCAAATCTGAGAAAAAGATCGACAGAAAGTTCCATTATCTAAGTCAAAACATAAACCCACAGTTTCACTACTCGGAAGAATCACATTCCATTGATCACACAGTAATAGTTGCAATGCCAGTGCATCTAATTCATACCATAGTACTCTTGAATTAGCTACATCTCGTATTCAAATCTATCTACTATGCTACATATAAGCAAATCCGAGACATGGTTCTTAACTTGTGAGAAAACGGTTAAATGAAATGGTAAATTTACCCCTTCAAACTGCAGTTTGGAGGCTGCCATCTCAAATACTGATATTGCAGATCAGACTGTCCATGCTTATGGCAAGCCAACTGGTCCGACTCTTGGTAAAGCAGGTGTGATTGGTTATCAAATACCCACTTGCCGGAGAACATATCACAGCTCTCTTGCCTTGTACTCCGCCACCAACCCGATTCTGCATCCAGATCCGCCCACCGGATTTTCTTCTCACTGTAGCTCTTCGTGGAGTTGCAGATATTGAATCTATCCAAAACCTATAAAACCCCACACAATAAGAGATATCCAAATCCTCAGTTATTCAAACATAGCAAAAATCTTTCTGAAAAGGGAAAAGAACTTTTGGGCTGAAATTCAAAGAAAAACAGTGCAGATTGAAGATGGATAACCACACCTGAAGCTGCATTGGGACGATTTTTTTGAAAGTAGAATTCTTTGTAAGCTCCATTGTGACGATTTTGCTGAAAGTTGAATTCATTGTAGAGAATCAAACAAGTTATGGAAACGATGAGAAGAACCATGATCAAAGGGAAACGGGGTTTCTTTATGCTCCATCTAGGCGTCAGGGAAATGGTGAATAATGTGGTGTTCAGAGAAGCCAAAGGGTTTTGCAGAAAGCAGGAACCTTGAACTTTCTGAAATGGATGCTAATTGTAAAAGGCATCTAGCATTGCTAACAATGAAAAGATTTTTAATGATAGAACGTTGGTTGACTAATGAATGCCTTGTACTTGAATTAATGAAAGTAGGAGCAAAGGTCATTAAATATTTAATGAGCAGATTGAGCCAGCTGCTTATAGCCGTGTTTATGAGTTTGATTGGTGATTGAAGAGTGGGAAGGGGAGTATTCTATTTGTGCTTCTCTCACATGTCCATTTTCACCAACAAAGCCAACCCCTGATTCTGAAAAAATCGAATTAGATCAAAGCAAATTCGGGGAAAATTGTACACTTTTTAAGTGACAGAGAAACCAAACCAACAAAAGACGTAGAAAATGGTTATGCCAGATCTTAAATATGACCATGAACTAGCAGGAGATGATTAGAATATAAGAGGGATCTATATTGCTCATCAGAATAGCATAAAACATAAGGAAAATAAGGTGTTCAAGTGAACACACATTTCATTGTTGCACTTAAAATATAGCAAGACTAACATGTAAGATTCAATTATTCTTTCGAAAACTTCAGCACCTACGCTTAATGGTAAACAGACCTCTTAAGCAACAGCTTCTATCGAGTGCCAAATAGTAAAGACAATCTTTCTTCTTTTTTTATAATAAGGAAGGCCTCATTAAAAACTCCCTTCATATCCGTCAAGCAACAAAGACTTAACGAACATTGGAAGGAGGAAAAAAGTGACTTAGAAATTTTATTGCATAAGACCCAGGTACAATAAGAACACACTATCGCCAAGAACCCTTGACAGCACTCAACACTGTGCAAAGATGCACTACAATTAAGCATATGTAATTACCCTACATAAAACTACCTCCTAAATGACTCAGCCAGGAACAAACTTATACAATGACCTAAGCTATCAACTATTCCCTAAAAACAAAACAACAACAAGAATAAATCCCCTCCACTTAACCAATCCCTAGTTTGGTGAATTTATCCTCTTCCCAATTAGCTGCTCTCACCACATGACGTACAATGACACATTTATCAACCACAATCTTTGCAATATCTATGACTAAGGATAGGAACATCGGGGTGGAACTAGTTGGATTTTTTATCTAATCTACTGTCACCGCACTATCGGATTCCAAAATAAGCCTTCGGTTTGCTGACATCCCCAAATCCACAAACAAATTCAATCATCTCTTAATAGCCATCGATTCTTCCATAATAGGAGGTCCAAATCCAATACTTTCAGAGAACGAACCCAGCAACACTCCTTTCTCATCTCGAATCATCCCAACAATGCCACCCTTCGACCACCACTTGTGCATAGCACCATCTACATTCGCTTTAACAAAACTGGAAGGAGAAGGAGACCAACTAGCTACCTTTGAAGGCTACTTTACAGAGCACATCACACGATCAGCTAACGCAAGATCCCCACAAGGCAATCAAAAGAGACCATCAGTTTTGGAAATTTCGAAGAAAACCAAACTGCCACTCTATACTTCGAGAGAAAAGATAATAGAACACAATACAATTTTCCATTATTAAAAACAATATCGTTTCTCATTTTCCAAATCTACCACAAAACGACTCCTGGAATAAACCCCAAACACTTGATCTAGGTACAAGATCTGCCCAAACTGAAAATAAAGCTAAAGGACACTCCGGAATTGCAAAGGAAGCCTCTAAACGACGCAAAAAGGTAACCCATAACCCCCAAGACACATTGCAAGAAAAGAAAAGGTGGGAAACCGTTTCTTGAACCAACCCACAAAACGGATACAATAGATCTTCTATAACTTGCACCCCACGTTTTATTAACTCTGCTTTAATAGCAATCTTCTTGTGCACTACCTACCAAACAAAAGATTCAACTCAAGGAGGAGCCACACCAGCCCACACGTTTCTTTCCCACGGAAAACAATCGACAACGCTACCAAAAAAATTTTTAAGGCAATATTTCACTGAAAAACACCCATCTCCTCCTGTCGATATGAGATTATCATCAATCAAAGGCGTAAAGACAATCTGGAGTCTGTAATTATTCCTTCGGACAAACCAACTAATCTAAGCTCTGAATTTGATCAACCTCTCTTGTCAATAAACAAGAATGTTAATTATGAAAGAAAAGAATACTGATAAAGAAAATATTTCGACATATCTTCTATGATTTGTCTGTCATAAGCTTTCCCCCTGCAGCAAGGTTCAGTTTTTCATTATAGAGTTTTAGCAGCTCAGAAGCTTTTTCTTCTTCATAACAATACACGAAGCTCTCAAGGAACAACTCTTCTGAAATCAGAAACATCCTCAACCCCAATTTCTTTTCTAGTAAACCCCTCGACATAAGATCTTTAAGGAAAAAACCCCTTGGAACAATTCTCTTCTCCATGCTCATTCCTATCAAATTGGGACGTTTAACAATAAGTAAAGCCTGGAACCCCATGACATTCACAAGGAAATTCATCACCGCTTTAATTTTATCCTCAGAAAATGCCATTAACAAGGGAAAACCCTTAAAAGCTTCTAAAATCTCTTTCTCGGACCAACCACACTTCTTATAAACATCAAACTTTCTCTCCCAGGTGGATTTGCTCATTGAACCCAATACAAATAGAGCTATAACAAAAGTAAACCTCGCAGGATTGAACCCCATTTTCTTTATTTTCTCAACATCATCTTTAAACTCAGCTGGAGCAGAGAAGAATGTCTTAGGGACCCGACGAAGTCCCTTAACTATGTTAACTTCAGGCACGCCATTTCGCCTCAGAATATTGTGATTAGGCAAAACGTAAGAATCAAAATCATATAAAAACATACGGGGATGTAGATTTAGAGCACCAAAGACAGCATTATCCGATTGAAACAGATTGCTAAGGAAGTTAAAAGAAGGGACAATTTTCTTATCTAAGCTGATTCTAAGAATATGTGGATTTTTAACAAAGAGGTTGGTCAGACCAGAGCTTGAAATGCCTTTAGACTTAAAAAAGGTGATTTTGGGAAAAAGGGTTTTCTCAACACTAGACGAAAGTATACCTGGCATCTTCCCGATGATGGTTGCGATTTGGGTTTTCGAGAATCCATTGTTCTTTAAGAAGGCGATGACAGAGTCGGGTTGATTTGGGGTTTCAAAGCTGACACGTTTGGAGACTGATGAAGCAGATTCTGGGGACAACCCACAGGTTTTCACGAGGTAAGAGACTGTAAATAATTGTTGATTTGAAGAGGTTGAGAATGGAAGTGATGGGTTGTTTTGAAGAATGTATAGAAGATTGTGGCATTTGAAAGGTTTGACCTTGATGGGTCTCCTACCATGGAGGATTCTTTTAGAGAGGAAACTCAACATGGGGAAAATGAAAATTATAGTGAGAATAGTGAATGAGAGGATGGAGTCACCTGCTGTGAAGAGAAACTATGCTCTATACCAAAGAGAAACACTTGTATTCCAACAGAAGAAACCAACCTAGCTTCTTGGTGTGCCGCCGATTAGAACCCTAGAAAAAGAAAACACAGAGAAGAAGAATATGGGAAATAAGGAGGAAAAGAAAGTTCAATTCATTTCAGAGTTCAGACATACTTTCCCAATTCTGAAACCCTAGAAAGAAACGACATCGTGTTTAGATCTTTCAACATAAAGAAAGGGTAAACTACTAATTTGGTCATCCACCTATACTTAATTTCTTTTTTCACTTTTAAAAAATAGTTTCTGTTTTCCACTCAACTATTTTTTTTTCAAAACATAACTAACTTTACGTTTTTGTTTTGTTTTGATAACACATCGTTACAAATTAATAGTGATGCAAATGTGTCACCATAAGATAATGATATATTAGTATTAAAAATAATTTTGAAAAATATCATGTTAGTATCACCGTTAATTTTTAACAATCAGTAACCAAACTGTAGGTATGATTTTAAAAAAATAGTTATATGACAAAAACATAAAATAAGTAATAGATGGGTGATCAAATAGGTAGTTTATCTCCACAAACAAAATTAAATTAAATTATACGATAAACTACATAAATAGTCACTGATGTTTGAATAAGTTTATCTTTTACTCAATAAAATTTTAAAAGTATCGAGTTGGTCATTAATGTTATCAATTTATAACATATCAATAGCTCGGTCTTAATAATCGTTAATATGATAACGGAATATTAAAGTGGCACGTTAAATCAATTAATGTGATGTGGTTTGGTCATGCATGACAGCCACATAGATCAACCGTTTGACTCACATATGTATTTTGTTGATGTTCATCAAATCACCTAGTAAATTTATACACTTTAATCTAACCAACCATAGTAGTGTATTGATGGATTATCAGATAAGTCAAAAATCATTACCAAAGATTGGTTCGAACTTAATGCATTCATCATTGACCCCATATGGGATCTTTTAGTGCCTTAACTTGGATTGTTTGGGGGGGGGGGGAGAACAATTTGCAGGAAAAACAGTTCTCAGTTGCTTTTCGAAGGGTTTCAAATTTGAAATTTATGTCTTTAAAAAATAGGATAAATTATATTAATCATGAGTTAACTAATTTCTTATTTTATGTTGGATATTGAAATTTAAAAGTTTTTAATTTAATCATTCAACTTTTACTCTTTTGATCACTCTATCATTATTTTTCAACCCTCCTAAAATTTTATAACTATATTTACTCTTAAAATTTTATAAATTCTTCATCCTAACATTAATTCTGCATCTGTCTCTGATTGAAATATATTTGTGATTGGGATAATAGCATAATATGTTTGCAAAATATTAATTGAACTTTTAATTAAAATCAAAACTATTTTATGTTATTGTAATTGAATTATAGCTTTAAATATCTATTGAATATGTCAAGTGATCTCAATGATAAGAGGGAATGTTTTTATCCCTAAAGTTCTGAGTTCGAACAGCTACGTTTGTAGGTATACATTTGTTATCAACTAGTTAAAAATATTATAAACAAATACTACTTAATAATCACCGCATAAAAATATATATATCAAATATCAATTAAGTCTTTCCTTCAACCAAACATCATCTTAGATAATAAATGTCAACCTATATCTAACATTAAGTATATTTTAAACACGTAAATTAAATTTTTTTAAAAAATGTATATGTTTCTTACTAATTATCAATTATTTTAGTGGGATAAAGTATTAAATCTCTTAAATTACGTTCATAATCTGAATATTAACATTGTGAATGGAGTAAGTTAAATTATGAGCAGGGATTTAAATAGCAGTCCCGTATCGGAATAATTGTTGTTATATAATGGTAAAGGTATTATTTGAAACTATTACTTCACAATCGCAATACCTGCAATGATCGCAGTAGCATCTGTTATTACCATAATCGTGATAATCGCAAACCGATGAGTATAACCTCTATAATGTTACCCGATAAAAATATGTTATTCTTCCGAGTACTTAGATTCAAACAATCATGTTTATAGAATATATGTTCATTTTCAATCAACTAAAAATATTCTAAACACATATTATTTTATAATCAACCTAAACTAATAAAAAAGACAATACAATAACCGATCAAAATTAATTAATCAATGCATTGAATGCCAACGTTTATACTAAAAAGATATGGATGCCGCACATGAATAGTTCGGTTGTGATGCGTCAAAAAAACTAAAACTATTATCAAAACTTGTAGGTGTGTTTGGTTGAGAGAATGTGAGATTCGCATGGGAATGGAATCCATATTCCCCCTTTTGGTTGATTGGGAATGTCATTCCCAGTAATCTTATATTATCAATGGTGAATTTTTTTAGGGTATAATACCGGGAATGTCATTACCGGGAATGTCATTACCTCCCCTTCCTTAGGTATTGTTGGATTACCGGCATTTTGGACTAAAATGCCCTTAAAAAATTTTTTCTTTAAAAAATATACTTATTCTGTCATTGAATAATAAAAATTCTACGAACGTTAAATTATAAATGTATCCTTAAACTATTTTAGATTTATATAAAAAAATCTATAATTAAAATTTTATATAAAGTTCAGGGGTTAAAATATAAAATTTTACCCTTTCATTAAACCTTTTTATATTTTCAATTTTGTAAAAAAATTATATAAATTTTATGAATTTAAATTTTTTTTAAAGAAAATATATAAATATTTTCCAACTTGTTAAAAAACAAATATATAATAAGGACAATTTGGTCAAATATATATTCCAATAATCTTTTATTCCTTTAACCAAATAATGTAATCTTACATTCCTGCTAAACCAACCAAACACAAAATACAACATTTTCAGTAATCCTATTCCCTGATAATCTTTTATTCCCACTGGTAATCTTACATTCCGTGAACCAAACACACCCTTAGGGCTATTGTCCATTTTTTTTCCACTCATCAAATTAAGTTGTTCATGTGATTGATTAAATTTTGCGATGCATATTTCATATATTTTACAATTTATGTTTGAGATTTAATGTTTACCCTTCAACTAACGTCTATAGTTATATATATATATATCCGTGAAATTTACACTTTTATAACTAGTTACATAAACGTGGATACATCGAAGAAAATAAAAGAAGAATGGGCATGGAAATTATGGAAGGTAAGGGGTGATGGGAGTAGAGATGGGCATGGGATACGAACCCTACTCGATTGGGTCGATTTTTTTTTAATTTAGGATTCAGATTAGGTTTTTTTTAAATGTGATGTTTGGGTCAGTTCAGATTCGGGTTTTGGGTAAAAAATATCCGACTTGACCCGACTCGAAAAAAATATAATTTTACGTTATATATTTACGAATAATTACAATAATATCTCTCTATATATTATTTTTTCAATTAAATTATTGTTTTTATTGAATAAAAATAATATTTTTTTATTATTTTCGGTCTGATCGAATTTGGATTTTATCTCAAAAAGTCGAGTCATGTTCAGGTCATGTGAAAGATTTATATTTTTCGGATCGAGTGAATAATATAAAATTTTTGGATCAGATTGAATTAACCCAACCCAAACCCAAGCTCGACCCATGCTCATCCCTAGATGGGAGTGAATGAAAAATCGCAGAGAAATGGGAAGTCATGTAATGAGGAAGTTCTACGGTACAGTAGCCTTAATATAAGGCTAAAAAAAAGTGTTACCGGTTTTGTTATTATTTTAAATAACAAAACCGGTAAAAATGATCGAAAATATTATTATTTCTACCGGTTTTGTTATTATTATTAATTACCTATGTAGGTAAACGTGGTAGAAAAACCCGGTAAAAAAATAATATTTTAAGAAGCATTTTACCAGATATGTTACTAAAACCAGTAAAGCGTCCAATAATAACAAAAAAATTTAAAATAACAATGTTTTCGATCATTTTTATCGATTTTATTATTTAAAAAATAATAAAACCGATAATAATTTTTTTATCGTATATTAAAATTGTCACATGTTAACGATTCCTCATGTTGTAATGTGATGGATGGGTGATGCAGAGGGGCGTGAAAGCATTCAAAAGCAGACAATAGTACACCAAGATAATGCAAAATATATTACAAAGTATTCCCACTTGCCCAACTTGCCATTCAACATCTCTCAACTTGCACTCCCTTTTTACATAAAAAAAAAGAAGGGAAAGACAGATAAACAATTCGCAAGTTGCATTCCCTCGTGTTGATAGTTGCGGCAGAAATAAAAGGATTCCTTTTCACGTGTTTACTTATTTGAGTTCAACTTGCATTTCCCCAACCGGCAACTTCTAGGTTACTCCACACCCAACCCTTTTCTCCTTTTATCCCCTTCTTCCTTTCCTTTTCTTCTCAATCTCACAGCCTTGTGCATGTAATAATCTTTCCTCAATTTGCATTTCAGATACACTTCTACGAGTTGAAACCTAGAAAATTTATGGGTAAAGTATAAAAATAGTTGAAGTTGAAACCTAGAAAATTTATGTGTAAAGTATAAAAATAGTCTTCTAAGGTAGGATGTTAAGGTGTTAATTTTTTTTACAATTAAAAATTATAAAATAATTATTCGACCATTCATATATTTTAAACTATTCTTTTTATGTTGAAAATTGATGGTCATCTGAGTTAAATATTCATCAAATGATTAAAATAAGATAAAATTATATTTTAATGATATCTATCGACACCACTATTATTTTCAAACACTAATTCGAAGACGTAATATTTTAATTAGTGACTCGATGATATAATATAAACATTGATTTGATGATATAATATAAACATAGAGTCAATTCACAATATATATCTCAAATTGTTTTGAAAGTATATTTTATTATATTTATATTTCAATTAACATGTTAATGTAAACTCAAACAACTATCAATTTTTTAACAAAAATGATAAATTCAAAAATATATAAATAACGAAATGATCATTTTTATAAGTTCGTCAAAAGACTCATCAAAACAACACGATCATTGATAAACAAAATACCATCTTATGTTTTCTCATTGATAAACAAAATACCATCTTATATTTGAGAAAACATGTGTACTTTACCCAAAATTTATTTACTTTTATTGTATCAAAACTGGGTGATTCGCCATGAAGATGATGGAATTAATGACTACCTCAATAACATGGAAACTTATGAAGCACTTGAAAGTTGAAACCCGGCTGCTTTCGAGTCGAGTTAACTAGTTGCTATTTTATGATACTGCTCTCTCCAAAGTTGATCCATGACTCCATTCATCACTTTCAATAATACATCTCTATCTTATTTTATTATATATATATATATATATATATATATATATATTAACAATTGGCAGCAATGACGACGAAAGACAATAGTGGAGGCTAAAAGATATATACTTCAACAATGGAGTGTGTATTTCACAGACTAAACAAAAGAGATAGTAAAAAGACAAAAGTTGTACACATACACAGGTGAAACGATAAACGTGAACTTTGGCAGTGATGAGATGTTCCATCGGCAACCCAATCGGATACTCACAAAATCGACGGCGTATCACTAAAGATTATCCGTTTTGGGGGAAAAAAAGAACATGCATTAGAGAAAGAGGTAGAGATTTAATCTATCTTGATGGAGGCTTGTGAATCTACTCACGAAAATGAATTGTTCTACGTTGATTTGCTATTTGCGCCTGGCTAGATTCTCGGCGATCTGAGCCAGTGACTGCAGGTTGCACCGAACGATAGTGTCGACGAACCCACACGTGTCCTCTTTGGTGTTCCCCGGCGGTACGTCCACCACGTACGATTCCACGACCACCGTTCCGTTCTCCGTAGCCGAAGCGTGGAGGGTCGTCACCGACCTGTAGTTAGCCAGCCTATGGTCTCCACCCACGACGCTGAAGCTGAGAACGTGACGCTCGTCGTCGAGGATCTCGAGGCGCTCGGTACTTCTCGCCGCGGGGAGTCCCGAGATGACGTTGACTTCACGAAGGGTACCAACTTCACCGTCCCCGTCGATGACGTGACAGCTCTTGACGAAGTGCTTGTAAGCCTGGGGATTATCGAAGCGGCGGACAACAGACCATACGGTGGAGACCGGAGCGGCGATCTGCTGAACGACGGCGGAGCAGCACTGATTGGGACCGATGAGATGGGTGTGGTGGCGAGCGACGATGTCGGGGACGGGCATAGTGCAGGCTAAAGGATACCGTTTTTGGCAAAGCATGAAGGAATGATCATTGGCAGAAGGTATTGCCGGGGCGGTGGAGTTATATGTCGCCGCCGCCGTGTTACTAGTGATTCTGTGGAGCAAGAGAGATGAATTTGAAGGATCCGCAGGCATTTTAATTCTTCTATTTGGCTGGCACAAGGAGAAGAAAGATATATATGGAGAAATGGGGAAGGTGATGGGTTAGTCGCTTTCCAACTGGGAAGAGGTGGTTTTTGCAGAGGATGACGATGTTAAATGAGGGAGAGAGAGGTGGATGGGTGGTGGGTAATTAGATTTGTTTTTGTTTAACCGATACTACAAGGAGTTTAGGGTTTTAATATAGAGAAAAAGTTCATGCGGTCAGCCACTCAGAATTAATAAACTATGCCTACTTGTTCTATCTTTCCAATTTACCAACTTCTCCCGGTCTTTCAATGTTTCCAAATTACCAAAATCACCCTGTATTTTCTTTTTTTTTTCTTTTGTCTTCAATAAATATAACTTAACTCGGTCAAAACTCGATAAAAATTCGACTCGGGTTGACTCGAACTCGAGTTCGACTTGAAATCTTAACAAATTGAGTCGAGCAAAGTCTAACTCGACTCAATAAGTTTGCGAGCAACTCGTTAATGTTTTTATAACTCTTTAGTAGTTATCTTAAAAAATTATTTCATTCAACAAATTATTAATTTACTAATTAATAATAATAAAAATGATAAATTATTAATTTATTAATTTATTAATTTTCTATAAATAATTAAAAATATTAAATTATTAATTAATAATTATTATTTTACTATACACAAATATTAAACCCTAATTATTATTTTAATGTATTTATGATTTTTTATTTTAGTGTTTAGACTTTAAATTTATTTTATACACGCTTGATAAATTTTTAGTTAAATTTATTAATTTATGTTTATATTAAGTTATATATACTATTAATATATTTTACTTATAGTTAAAAAACAAAATAAAATTTTTGGTGAGCTTAGCGAGCAACGAGGCGAACAACAAACTTAATGATTTTAACGAGCGATGGGTTGAGCAACAAATTTTCTTAATGAGCACAAATCGAGCAAAATTTTAATAAGCTTAACGAGCAACAAAAATTTTTAACGAGCACAAGTCGAGCATTGCTCAACTCACGATTGACTCGCTCAATAAGCACCCTATAATATACACTTAACATTTTGTAAAAATATATCTAAGTGTTTGTTTACCTCCTACTGCTTAATTACTGCTAGAATTGTCGTTTAAAAAATGAACGTGATTTTAATTTAACCCGTTAATTAGGTAAATAAAGATAATAAAGATGAAATTAATCCATTTCTCATAGACAATGAATGTCCAAGGTAGGCTAAAAAGATGGGAAGCTGTCTCAAGCTTCCTCAGCCATAACATGGCATCATGCAAATTGATAAGTGGTCCTAAGCCATCCATGCACCTTTATATACATATAAAACAAACTAGAGTGAAAATTTCTTTATAATGTTAATATTGTATATTACGCTCTTAGAAAAATATATATATATTTGATTAAGCTAAGATGATTATAAAGTAATATATATCTATTTTAAATACTCTCAACTATTTAACAATGAAAGCTCAATTGTTCTGCTACAGTCGCTGGTGTTAAAACTCGTGAATTCTAAGAATAACAACGATTTCTTTAACCACTAAGATAAGTTGGTTCGTGTATATATATATATAGATTTGAATGTAAGCTTTGTTGATGGCCAATAAGCGTGCCAGCCGCCAAAGTACACCAAATTTGTATTAAATAAAAGTAAGTTCATGAATTAATCACTAAATAAAATCAAATAAATTAATATAAATTATATTCTCATATTATTATAACACTAAAGTATTATGAATGGATGGAAGTAAAAACTAGATAAACTGAATCGAAAATGGACAGCTGAACCAATTGATTCTGAAACCTTGATCCGTATATCCCAAAATATTTTGAGTGAACTACAAGAAAAAGGTGGTTCAACGGCAGAAGGGCATGAATGTCAATTCCAGGGGTGTCAAATTTCGTAAATGTGTAGGGGAGAGAGGGTCAAAGCTATTATGTCATTTCAAAAACAAGGAAAAAAATAGAAAGAGACTAGAGAGTGGTCAAATAGACGATCAAGTTGCTGGAGGGTTGTATATTTCATAAAAAAGGGTAAACTACACGTATGACCATCTAACTGTGGTCGTAAACCATTTTGACCACCAACGTTTGGAAACGATTAATTAGACTACTCAATTATTTAAATGATTTAATTAAGTCACTGACAATTAATTTTTAACTAGGTGGTGAAAGTTAATAAATTAACATAATTTTATATTTAGTCCTTAATATTTACACATTATATTATTTAATCACTATTTTAATTTAATTAAATAAATTTAGTTATCCAATCCGGAGGTGCTACGTGTCACTATATTAGTGAAAGGTGAATTTAATTAATTCTAATATTTTAATTAAATAACTTTTCCCACATCACCACTTTTGGAAAACATTTTAAAACTATAAGAAGACCTAGAGGGATTAGAACGAGAGATCCCATGGTATCCATGGGCAAGCCTTTGCCACCAAGCCATTCTGTTTGATTGGTCCAAAATCACACAACAAATTATATATTATGTTTGAAGTTATTTCACATACACGCGCGCGCGCATATATATATATATATATAATTATTAAAACAAATCTAATAAGTAAATTATATTTCATATATATATATATATATATATATACACACACATTAAATTATAAGACTTAAAAAAATGAGTTCCATAATTATTTTTAAATAATAATATATAAATTATATTAAAAATAAAATTATTTTAAAATTATTTGGAGAATTCAAATAAAAATATAAAAATGATTTTAATATTTTTGTTTAAATTATTTCCTACAATTTTTTAAAATAATAATATATAAATTATATTAAAAATAAAATTATTTAGAAAATCCAAATCAAAAATAAAAATAATTTATTTTAAAAAAATATTAAACTCATTTTCATTTTTAAGTCTTAAATTAACTATAATTTAATATATATATATATATATATATATAATTTATTAGATTTGTGTGAAATAACTTCAAACATAATATATAAAAGTTGTGCAATTTTTATCCAATCAAACAGTTTGACTTGGTGGTAATGGCTTGCCAATGGACACCATGGAACCTCTTGTTCAAATCCCCCTCTTATGGTTCTAAAATGATTTACTTTTAACCACCAGATTGGTGTAACAATTATTTAATTAAAATATTAAAATTAATTAAATTCACTTTCCAATGTGCAAATAGTGACTAAATTGATACAAATGTGTAAATATTAAGGACCAAATATAGAATTATGCCAATTTTATTAACTGTCATGTCACCATCTCCAACTTGATTGAACCTGAATAGTTTGATTGATCGTTTTCAAAAGTTAGTGGTCAAAATGGTTTATTACCATAGTTCAGTGTTCACCTGTGTAATTTACCCAAAAAAATAACTGCAAATAAAAATATAATAATAATAATTCATTTATCTGAAAAATATAAGCATAAATTGTTCAGATAATCTCTCAATTATAATATATTAATGATTAATCACTTGATCATAAAATAATATGAAATAATCATCGACTAATCCAAGGTCATAAAATGATTCCTTAGTAATAGAAATGTGTCTGGAGGGGGCGTTTGGTTCACGGAATGTAAGATTACCTTAGGAGTAACATTACTAGAATGTAATATTACTATGAGAATATTGTATTATCTTGTTTGATTTGTTTAGTAGGAATATAAGATTACAGTGTTTGGTTGGAGGAATATAAGATTACTTGGATGCATATTTTACCAAATTATCCTTGTGATATATTTTTTTAAAGTTAAACTTTAATATTAATTTATAAATATTTGAATGAAAATTCATAAAAAATATTTTAATCGCTATATTATCTAACTTTTGAGGAGAAATTACATTTAATATATAATTAATATAATTAGTATATTATATTTATATTTTTAAATAATATTCATAAGTATCATATTTATTTATATAAAATATAATATAATATAAAAATAATATTATGACAATAAAATATTATTTTAAATAATTACATTTTTACAATAATACTATTTTTTACATCCCATAAAATTATAAATAGTAAAATATTGAATATTAAAAATATAAAATATTTTAAATTCTCAGAATTATTAATATTTTAGTAAATCAAACTCTTTGTATATTATTATTATTTTTATAAATTTGAGTAAAGTATAAAAAATAAGAATTTAGAAGGATCATTATAAAAATAATTAATTAGTCCAAGGGTATTTTTGTCCAAAGTGGTAGGAATGTAAGATTACCTAAGAATTTAGAGGTAATGACATTACCACCATTTTAACCAAAAAATGCTACTATTAGGAAAATAGTATTTACAGTAATGTAAGATTCCGTGAACCAAACGTTGGAATACAATTTTGGAAAAAAAAACATTTCCCTTGATAATGTAAGATTCCGCGAACCAAACACACCTTGAATGTTAACAAGTTGACTTGAAATTTTTATAGTAATAACTTCTAAATTACACATGATATTCATATGATATTAAGAAAATAAATAAATTCTAAAATTATTAGAAACTTATAATTATGACATTAGATCGCTAAAAACAACTCTTAAACTCCATATTCTTCGATTGTAAACGTCTTAGTAAAAAAATCTTATTCTTGTGACTTAAAAGTTCAAAACGATGAGAAAGTAGTTCTTTTTAACAATTTTTATTTAGGAGGTGATGTAACGACAATTTTACTTCTCATAGATATTAAATCCTTAACTTAAAAGAAAAGTGTGTTAATTGAGAGTTTTTAAATTTTAATCATACGAATTAGAGATTAATGACATTAAAAAATCAAATCTACTCATAATCAAATAAAAACAGAGTGCATCGACTACAAGCAATAAAAGGGAAGGATAGGTAGGGATGATAATTTCACATGAAATGGACGAGCTTCGACAGAATAATCTGATAGGCTCGATTTTTTTTAATATAAAAAATCGGGTTTAGGTGTAAATGGGGTTAGATTTTTTAAGGGAGTGAGATCGGATCGGGTCAGGTTCTAGTGGAGAATGAAAAAACGTCGACCCGATCTGATCCGGGGATAATAATATATTTCATTAAAAATTTATTATTATTTTAATTATGTCATTATTTTATATCAGATCAGATTTATACTATAAAAATCAGGGTCGAGTCGGAGCCAGTTGAAGGATATATATTTTTTGG